TTGGTCGGGCGACTCAATGTGGTCCCGATTACGGGGTTCGATTTTGGTTCAGACTGTCCAGTTCTCTGTGCCGTCTCAGGGAACATGGTTTTCCGGTAAATGGATTTCTTAAAGGTAAAATCGGAGGGAGAAAGCTTGACGGCGAGAGCCAATTTCGGATCCAAGCTTGAGGTGGGAGCCAATTCTGGATCTAAGACGGAAGATTGAAGAAATTCAGAGGATAAGGTTAGGTGGGATATATTTTTGGGGTGGTTTTTTTTTTTGAGGGAATCGGGGGGGAAGGATTTTTCAAGTTCTGCAAGTTACCAGTTCGTTTTTTTTATTAGAGTTTTTGAAGATCAAGGGAATTAGAGAGAGGAGCTTCATGCATTCGGGTCGGGGAAGGAAAGACATAGAATTTGGATTTTTCTTCTTCGTAGAGTTTTGGGGAAGACTGAGGCAATCGCTGCTGAAGTCAGTGTTGTAATGGTGAATCGGGATTTTTAAATGAAGTGGGTTTGAATACTCTTGACTATTTTGTGAAATCGAGTTACGTCTGTGATTGAAGGATTAAAAGGGTGTCTATAGGATTGAGTATGCGGAGTGAATGAAATTTATTGGGTTAATCTAACAAGACAGTCAGTGGATACAAGATCGTAAGTACAAAGCAGTATTGAAGGTTAACAGTTTGGATTGTACGGGGTTCTCTGTAACGTCTAGGGACCTACCGGCTGGGGCAAAAAGGACTTCGACAAGCAGTCGAAGAGCACTTGTATAGATTTACGGTACATTGTTGCAGTCGTTTATATTCCAGCAGTCAAAAACTGATAGACTGCTTGACTATCGGCGAATCTCCATACTACCTTCTACAGCCCATGGCAATTCCATCTAGAAAATATTGATGCCTTGGCACGAAACATGCTAACAACATTTCCTTTACTTCCTCCCATGTCTTCTCTAAACTGTTTGGTGACTTGTTCTTCTCTACTAAATACCACTCTAAGGCAGTGCTTTCAAGCAGAGTGGGCAAGGTTTTGACTCTTCTTGCCCCTTGGATGTCTTTGGCTTCAAACCACACTTCCAATTCTTCTAGAAATTTCCTCATGGATCTCCTTACCTCCACATCACTCCATTTCTTGGGAGCGGAAACCTTACGTAAGGTGCCCCTTTCAACCTCCTTTCCCTCCATCCAGCGCTCTATGACTCTTGCTACTTCCGACCTTACTAACTTCATAAGTTCAATGAAGGACAAGGTGACCTTGGTGCCCGCTCCTGGACTTTGGGTCTGGTTGATTAGCTCTTCCCTGAAAGGACTGCCTTGCTTCTTTTTTCGAAAGCTCCTTGCTCCTGCTTGGATTCCTTCTCTTACTCTCTCCTAATTTGGTGGCTTTACTTTCTCCACTCAAAGAGTAGGAGCTTAACTTTTGAGAACCCTCTTCAAGTGATGTTTCTTTGGCATATCCACTCGGATTACTCGAACCCCCTTGGGTCTCTTCATTCTAGATGCCACTGCCTTGGGCCCCCACATCTCCTTCTAACATACCAGCTCTCTCACTTGGAGACCTAGCATCTCTCTTGGAAGGGTTCTTCCTTCTGATGGCCTTCTTAGGCGAGGTATCCTGGCTCTTTGCCAAGTCCTCTTGCCTTAAGAATTCTTCCACATTCACGTCTTTACCTTGCTTCTGTGAAGACTCAGCCACCACTTTCTTTTCTCTAGCCATGGCTCAAGTCTCAAAATCTCGCCGCCACAACTACTTAGTCTAGTCACGCCTTGTTGACTAATCCCGCTCTGATACCAATGTAGTACTCCAAAACTTCCTTTTTAGCCTTGAGTATTTTTGTCACCTACATCCAACCACCCTTCCAAGTTAGTAGCTTTCCACTAACCTTCACCTAGTAGCTGAACCAGATGATCCCACGCCTTTCTTGGCCTCCTGGTCACCTGCACCGAGGACTACTCTCCAACACCCAAGACCAAGGTTACTTCTTGGTGAGAGGGGCTTCAGCTTTTCTCTCTCTCAATGTTAGTCGCCCTAGAGCGTCTTTTATGCTTTGGCCAACACCCCCTTCGTACTTGGAGCCAACCCAAGCATCCCATGGCATCCTTACACCATGGCGGGGCCAAGGGAGTCCTCATGCACTTTAAGCTCATGCGACCTCCCCAAGTCATCATCTCCAAGTGCCGCTTTGGATCACCTAAGAGACTTGTTCTTTTTCATGAGCTTTACTACCTTGTAGTGATCTCCTTAGTGAGTCACCCCTTAGCCATACATAGCCACACACTTTAGCCACACACTTTAGAGAGGTGAGTGTCCAAGATTTTTTTTTAAACTGGACTGGACTTCTCAGCTTTAGACTGAACCTTTGATATCACATCCAGCCGCCTAGAGTACAATAACATGGTTCTCATGTACTGCAAGCAGGACTCCTCTTTGAAATGGTGCTCATTCAACCGACGACACACTGACGATATTTGGGCATTTTGAATACGACTTTCTTGTCAGTGGGCAGGATCTCTACGGCTCACCAGTTCCTCTTGATAACGTGTCTCGCCCACAATTCTGCTGCAGCGAATGTTCAAAATCCTAAAAACCATTACAGTTACTGTTTATCAAGCCAGTACTCTGGCGAAGGGGCATTATCCCAAACAATCTGGACAGCCCGGACACCACCTTCGAAGACAATATTGGAATTTCTAACAAGTCTGACAAAGGGCTAGACGAAAGAAAAGCTCACTAGCAAAGATCACCGCCAAGAGAAACGGATGCCAGCATCTCTGGACACTCGTAAGGATTACAGTGTAAAGAAGAGGTTCAATAGGCAGAAGAGCTGAGATTTACGCTAATCAACTTAAGAAGACTCGTGCAGCATATTAGACGCCTCGTTTATGTTAAATCTTTGGAAGTGACGTAGTATTTGAGAAGCTATTTCATTCATTAGCTTTGGACAAGACAAGAAGTTGTGCTGGTAACCCATGCGTTACACTTCATTGATACGAACTTCGAAATTGTCCAGCTTGCGCCAGAACGCTGCAATGACACCTACACAGGACTTGATGGAGCTCTGCAGTGGCCTTCATCACCTATTTGAGATATTCCTACTTGGAAGTTTCCTGCTTGGATGCTTCCTCAAACGTCTCTCCTTCTACTAACTCAGGCACATCATCGTCTCCCTCTTCAATCCCCTCAAGATTATCCTTCTTCTGGAATTGTTGGATAAGTTTCTTCAAGTTATCCAATTTATCAGGTCCTAACTGGTTGATGATACTAGGCAAGATGTCTTGGAGCTTCTTCGTTTGAGAAGGTCCGCTCACCACCCACGTGTTGGCGGCAATGGAGGCTTGCACTGCACACACGTCAATAAAGGTATTTTCATTTAGATGCCTGTACTTCCCAAATAAACTTGTGTTTTGTCGTTTTAGGTCATGGATAACGGACTAACAGCACGGAAAGTAATACCTTTCGGATTCACGAAATGGATAACAGACTCATCCTGAAAAATGTTGACCTCCTCAATTCCAGGAACGGTATTCACTCCAAGTCGTTTCAAGGTGCTCTGCAACCTCTTGTCGTCAGTTGAGGTGGTCTTATGCACAGCTTTCTTCTTCCTGTTAGACGGAACGAAAAAATGAATGGTATGATATAATAGATTAATGAGATTATGCAGACATCCAGAATTTCAAAAAAAACAGTTTTGTGATATCTTTATTTGGAAAATAAAAGAGAACCAAGACTGAGCAAGATCCTTGGAGGTGCATACAACACACGCAAGGACACGGGTTTCAATCACGGGGACGTGAAGAATAAAGGATCATCACTAACCTCCTGACACTGCCCTTCCCACCAGTGCGCACTGCACTAGCCATCTTCATTAGCTTCTCTCTATCCATCTGCTCGGCATTCCATTCAAGATGATTAAATGCCATGCAGTAACAACATATACTCTTTAAAAGTCTACTCAACACCTGATTATGTGAAATACTATGTATACTAGTAAACAGTGATCTTAACAGGGTCAAACCCCCTCCCCCTTCCCCTCCCCCAAATTAGAAATAGAACGAGAGTGGCCACTTCAAAATCAACATAAATTCGCCACACGCCACCACATGACTTCGGAGCTACAGCACACCCAGAGAAAGTGCTGGTAGCAGCTCAACATCAAAACAATCAAAGAAGAACAAAGGGAACACTCCAACACGGAAGAGCATTATCAATGCAACACAGAAGCACACAAGAAGTTGCCCAAACAATTTGTAGCGCGGTCCACAGGAAAAGGGCATTAATCTAACTCACTCCCAAGAAGATAGCAACCGCTGGCTCATCTACTCAAAACAAAGAAGCCCCTGCACGACGGTGGCAGAATTGTGCAAAACAGTAACCCCACCACCATTCCAGGTTGCAGACAAACCTCAACATAACATTCCCTATCTTTCCTCTCTCTAAAACTGCATAAACTCAACAGTAACAACAACACTAACAATAATAGCAAAAACGTAAAAGGCAAACTGAAAAATTTCGCATTACCTAAGCCCTTCGTCTCCACAACAAACACTTGACCAAGGGCTTCAGAGCGTCGAAGAAGACGACTCAAACGTTACTAAGCACCCAAAAACGAGACTTACCCGAAAACACAAACCGGAACAAACCAAACGAAAATGAACCTACACTAAGCACCCAGAAACGAGACTTATCCGAAAACACAAACCGGAACAAACCAAACGAAAATGAACCTACAAACAGTCTCTCGATGCAGTATTCCGGAGCGAATCAGCATCATCGAGACAAAGCAATTGTTGGGTAATCAGAAAAATCGAAGACATGGGAAGACGCGTACCTTGGAAGGCCGTCGGCGACACTGGTTCGGCGAGGGATGCCGAGCTGACCCTGTGAGCTCCGCTGTACAGACACACAGGAAGGAAGGGGAAAGGGAAAGGGACGATGTTAGGGCAACGCTCTGTGTGTCACTGCGGCTGGAGTGAAGAGGGTCCCACGGGCACCCGTGCCCGCGGTGCTCCTCCTCCACACATTTCCCACGGCAACCGATTTTACCTGCTGAAATGAAATATAAAACTTAACTTTCACTGTGTGTGTGTGTGTGTGTCTGAATTGGGATGTATAGATATATATATATATATATATATATACACACATATATAGACGCACATTTATGTTGTGCATTACTTAAACAACATTATCCTATTTTCTTTACTTTTTTTGATGTTTTTGGAGTGAGCGTTGGCAACTAGTGGCAATGAGCATGTTTGACAACTTGAAACGGGTTCCCATTGTAACATGCAGTTGTTTTAAACAATTGAAATTACAGAGTTTGGCTTGTGAGAGGTGATTGTTTTGTGATGCATTTTATAAGCCAAAAGGTGGCTGATTTGGAAAATTTTAGAATAAAATAGAATACTACACAACTCTTTGGTTCTTACCACTCCATAATCTTTGCCACTCAAAAACATTGTACTCAATAAAAGATACTATTCCATAAACATTCAGTTTTAGCAACTTTTCCAACATAATTCAAGAGACCAATATACTAAATTGTAAATTTGTTCCCATTTAAGTGATTATGATTTTAGAATATTGTCAAGGTTTAAAGTGTGTGTATGTATGTATTTATATATATATATATATATATATATATATCACAAGACAATACATTTTAAAGATTTTCTTGTGGCGCATTTTAAATCATCTCAGATGCAAGACTTCTCCATTACCTCAAATTTCAACAAAGACAAAAAACCAAATCACCTTCAGCAACATTTATTCAAGATGCTATTAATAACTTTTAAAAAGTTGAGCAAACATTTTGACATTCAACAATATCAGTACATTTGCTTGGAAATGAAACATGGTTATCTATGCTAATTCTAGTTTAAAAGAAATAGATACTTACAAGTAAGGACAGTATTGCTCACATGCATATAAGTACCTTTGTGAATTAATTCACATACCTGAAACCTCACCTTATCATTCCTCAATGCAACACTGTCAACCCTCATAGATTGATTGTGTTGCTGACATAAACCATATCCACTTAGATCTCTACATACCATTATATACACCTATCAACCTGATTCCTAACCTACCATCTCAATCTAACAAAAAAACCTCACAACATCCTGAAACATGTTGACAATTGTGAAGAAGTTTTACAGTAAATTACACCATGACAAATTGATATGGACATGACCATTCCGATAAGTTACCATATGTCTAAACAGCATTGCTCCCCATGCTGCTGCCCTGTCGCCATAAACAGGCCTTGCAGAGGATAGACATTTCCAATATACACAGATGCCATGTGCCTCATCTCAGAACCATTGGAACATCTTTCCCCACAACCTGCCTTTGTCTGTGACTCTCATCTAGCCTGTATCACAGAGATGAAAGTTATCCAGACCTTAAATTCAATGCCAAGATTCAATTGCTAATATTATCTGAAAGAACATTTAGAAATTAAACAATTGTATGAATCATCACTTAGAATTCACAATGATTAGTCAAGTCCTGAAAATGTTTTAAAGATTATTTACCGTGATATAATTTCGGAAAAGAATTATAGCAATTAAACCATTCTTGAAGCAATGTACCTTCAGTAAAGAATATTGCAAAGTTTCACATCACGCACCAAAGTGCAGATTCATCTCACTAATGAATTAGGCAACAACCCGATGTAGACTCACTAAAAGCGCCACTAACAGATATGTTGACCTTCTACTGGATTAAATCTAGAGGGTCCATGACAACCGTATCCTTATCTCTGCAAATTCCAAGCAGGATTCAAGTTCCGTACGTCATGGTAAGGAGCACCTCTTGGAGTGGTGAGAAGAGAAGGAGAAGCTCCTTGTTGTGCTGCAATGTGGCTAGCTCCTGGAGAAGCGCCTTGAGGCATATGGTGTCCATGCAGCGCTGGAGATAAGGAGAAGGATGAGATGTAGATTCTAAAAGAGCTCATGCTGACTGAAAGAGAGGCGACAGTGGTGCTACATTGGGCCAATATTGACGGATTTAAAGCTGCATAGCCATTTTGGAGGAGAAATCGAAGTGAAGGCATTCCTATTGGAAGAGATCAAAGCGTTGGTGTTGTAAGGTTGTAGAGATAGTCTTATAGCAATGAATGCAGGACATGGTTTGGGAGTTGATGACTATGAAAGATTGGCCATAATTTTCTATGTTGTTGCAAGGTGATAGTTGATTTCTAGTTGTTGCAAGGTGATAGTTGATTTCTAGACAACAAGTTTAGAAGAATTCTTGTACATATTTTTTGATGTAATAATAAGCAATTATGGAATTGTGATCAATGTTTTAATATGGTCATTTCTTTGTTGAAGAATGTAATGTATATAAAACTTTCACGAGTTGATTGCTAGATAATTTAAATAATTAAATAATTAATTAAAATAATATATACTAAATAAATAATAAAAATAAATAATAAATAATAATGGTAATAATAAATAAATTTAAAAATTTTAATATTAAAAATTAAATATTAAAATATAAAAGAATAATAAAAACTAATGTAAATAAATAAATACATAAAAAATTGACAAAAAAAACCTTAGATAAAAAATGGATAAAAAAGAGAAAATATATATTCTTACGTGAGTGAAGTTATGTCATTGGACTACCAAATGCAATTAAGATGGATTGATTTTGCTGGCACCTCCAAATCATGAGCAAAACTGAGATAAATTGAGAGAAAATCCATTGCTAAGAATTGTTGCAAAATTTAGGAATTTTTAAGAAGTACTAGTATAAAGTGGGATTATAGAGGTACAAAATGGGAGGTACTCTTACAAGATATAGATGCCTTTAATATAAGATTTTTTGGAGTTTTTATAGATAGATCAAATGTAAAAAAATAAATGGTGTGATGCCAATTAAAACATCTCATTTATTTGGCCGATATTGGAAGATGCACAAATTCAAAGGAGGTGGATGTTATATTGTAATACAACTATATAGTGAAAATATAATCAAAAATAAAGTTTTAATTAAAATCTAATCATCTTGATTTAATTATAATTCAAGATATTTAAACATGGTTTTTATAAAATCTCCCTAATTTATTTTCTTGACTTAATAGCTAGTAGATTAAAGGTTGGTTAGTAATTTTACCTTTTAGGCTATGGAAACTCTTTTATTGCCTTAGAAAGGCCATAAATTGATAAAAATAAGATAGAATAAATAAATAATTAGTATGGTTGACAATAAGATTAAGTTAAAGATAGAATTGGGCTAAAAAATCCCTAGGATAGATTAGATTGATACTAAGGGGTTGATCGTTTGTTGGACAAGATTGAAATCAGCCTTCTAGCTATTGAATCGGTTACTTAGGACAAAATATGGAAGAATTTAGAGATCAATGACTAGGATTGGAAAACTAACTTTAAGCTTCCATAAGAAGCATAAGGCTTGTTTTTATAGGATTTGAAATAACTTTGCAATTATTGTTCAAAGACAAGGATTATATTGGTCACTTGAATTTATGCAATACAATTAAAACTAGCACTCTCAGGTAGTTTGCGCAATTGGTGTTATATCCATAGTTCAAAACTTGACAGTGCTTGGTTGATTGGGTGTGCTAAGTATACATAAAATTTTGTATTAATTTCATAATATCATTGGAAGATATTTGGATTTTGATATAAAAAGGTATCAAAAATTGATAGTTTGAGGTTAGATAGGATTTCTATGATATCTAAAGATCTATTTATTAAAATAAGGTGAAATTCGACATAGTATTAGAGAACTTTTATAATCAAGCTATGTACAAATTTAGAGTTAAAATTAAAAATTGAAGAAGGAGAAATTGGTACTAGAACATCTATATCAACTATCTAATTGGTAGTGGAGTGGCATTAGTATATTTTTTTGGATATTTTTTCATAATTTATAAATAAGATTAAACAAAATTTATATATAAGCATATAAAAGATTTATAATTGCATTTGTATGCAAAATTTTATACCAAATAGATAGTAAAATTAGGAGTTACAACTTATTGAAGTTCATTGATTAGAATTAGGACTTACAAAGAAAAATCAAAATTACTTAATTATGAAAGTAATAAGGTAATTAGAATTTTTATATAGTTGAGATTACTCAAAAGAGAGTTTTTAAATACTTTGTATTGACTTTAAGTACTTTTGAGTTAAAATTCAAATTACAATCTTTTTATATGGATGAAATCTATTAAGGTTTTTTAGATACTTGTAAAATACAACTTCATCTTCTTTTGCTACGTACTTGGTGCTTTCTCAAACAAGACAATACTTTATATGATACCAATCTCTAAAAGTTTTTGTACAATTCTTTGTATACTCAAAAGAACAATAATATGTCTTAAAAGACTTTTTATCTTCAAACGGCTATAACATCTTTATTCTAATTTTAAACCCTCTAAATTTTATGTACAAATTATAGCCCAAATTTTAAATCTTCTAATCTTTATTTTTTATTCTTAAATATTTCTTGTAAAATCATTAAAAACCTTATTGTGGTTGCAAACAACCTATTGAAAGCTATTAAGTATGATCTTTGACTAATAGGAATGAAGTACTTCACCCCTTACCTTCATTTATCCATATCTTGTTTTTATCCTTCCAATAAGCTTCTTAGTAGTTTGGATCATCATCTTTGAATTCCAATCTTCTCTTGAAACTTCATACTAAATATTTAAATTTTATATAATATAAACACTAAAATCTAAGTAAGTAAACATCAAAATAAAAAATTTTATATCAAATTTCTTTAAATTAATCTACTAACTATTCTAATACACATTAAAACTTATAAACATATTATATATTTTAATTAATTTTTACATATTATAAATGATTTTAATATGATAATAGAAGATGAAGAATATTTCTTCATTTTTCATATAATTCACATACACCTTAGCAAAAATTTATATCTATTGTTTTTAGATAAACCTTAGTTGAAAGCAACTAATGCAAAAATTGATTGGAAAAGTAAGAAGTTCCATATCATCTATAGGCCACTAAAAAACTTGACTAAAATTCTTATTTAATTTCAAAGATTTTTTTTTTAGCCAAAAATTTATCTCACTCTTCAAAAGATGAGATTTTGAATTGACAACCATAAAAAGAATTTTTTTAAAAAAAATGTTAGATTTGCTGATTTGATAGCACAGAAAGAAGCTCAATTGATAATTGTCCAATCAATTTTAATACGATGTATGGATCTTAAGTTATATTTTTGGAAAGATTATGGAGAATTTACTAAATGGTTGAAGGATCACTTTAGTTCAAGTATGGATGAAGTTGTAAATATAAATTTTATAGAAGGTTCTGCTACTTACCAATATGATGATTTAAAAGTAGATTTGACAACCTTAGTAGATGACATCAATTATGAACATATTTATGGAATGAATATTGATGGCATTCAAATTTACAATCTAAAAGAGAGTGATCTTAATTCTTCTTTGTACTTCAAACAAACTTCTAGTGGCCTTATGATTAAAAATAATATGAAAATATATTTATAAATATCAAAAGATTGGTATAAAATATTTATAAAATAAGCACCAAGTCTATCTATAAAACTATTCCTATATAGAAAATTACATCAATACATAAGCCCTAAGTATCAAAGGTCACCAAAAATTTAATAAAAATAATATAAAACCTTATATATTCTTAAGAAGAATTTTTTCCAAACTTCAACAACTCATATTTTACGATCAGATTGTCCAAATAAACCAAAATTTTACATGAAGTATTGATGTACTTTTAAAAACTACCACAACAAATTTAAGTAGAAAATTCATTTCGAATCTTGAGATATTTCCAAAACCCTAAAAGTAGCTTCAAACCCTTATTTACAAATCCATGTGTGCGAATTTCTTTATATCTTATAAATTAAGTATTCAAATACAATAAAATTTTGAAATGTGGCTTTTTAACCTAATAACACACATTTTTAGAAATTTTAAGCCAAAAAATTATCCGAAATTTCAAGATATGGCTCCAACCATTACTTTCAACAAAACAACTCACTTACTACATTTGTATTAAATGTGCTATCTTCAATGCTCTATATCTTCTTCATACAAACTCCAAATACAAAAGTTCTTTTACAAAAGATATAGATCTTAAAACCATCCTTGTGACTACATCTTTAGATCTCCAAAAAATGTCATAAAACTCCTTAAATCCTCAAAAGAGGAATAATATAACTTAAAAAGATATCTTAACTTCAAACGGCTATAACTTCATCATTCTAACTCCAAATCCTCTAAAGTTTTTACAAAAATTATAGTTCAAATTCTAAACCTTATAATCCTTGCTTTTTATTTTCAAGTGCCTCTTTTAAAATTTCCAAAATCCTTGTTATGGTTGCAGACAACTTACTCAATACCTATTGGACATGGCATCCAACCAATAGAGATGAAGATCTTTACCTTTAGCCTTCATCTATCTTTATTTTGCTTTCATCTTTCTAAATAAGTTTCTTAAAGGTTTGAAACTTCATCTTTGAGCCCCAATCTTCTCCTTAAATTTTATATTAAGTATTTAAATCAGATATAATTTAAATATTATAATCAATATAGGTAAATTCTAAAATAAATTTTCTTATATCAATTTTTTTTTAAAATTAGCCTACTAATCATTCTAAAGTATATCAAAATTGATAAGAATATTTTCTATTTTAGTTAATTTTTACATACTATAAAAAATTTTAATACAATATTGTGTACTTAGATTTTCACTTAATAAAAGAAGTCTTTTCAATGAATTTAGTTTGGTTGCAAATTCTTAATGGAAAAGATTTTTCTATCAAAACTTTTGGTAATTGATGCATAGTATATTAAGTGCAATTTTTATCATATACATGGTC